TATATATATATATATATATATATATATATATATATATATATATATATATATATAAGTGTAATGTAATATATGTAAGTGCAATGCATACACGTATATCACTTGGGCTATGCACGCAGACGTATGCATTATATGTCCACAACCGCTCATCTACGATCGAGTTTTCAGCTGAATGACTTGTTAGGGTATGCTATATTCCCCCCGAACGGCGTGTCGTGCTCGCCGCACTCGATCACGCGCTATAAAGGGGAAGATTTGAATTCCTAATGGAAGGATATGGCAGTCGTTACTGAACCACTGACGCTGGAAATTCGGGGAGAAGTTCCGTCACCCTTTGGATTATCAGAATAAGATAGCTCTCCCTATATTTTAACGCTGAACGGATTTGAGAGCATCACGCTCGATATACATATTTCATTTGAACAGAACTATTAGTGGTTGATCAGAGCCCCGTCCGCTTCACTGCAGATCCTTCCCACTATAAAGTTTGGCCAACCTCTTAACTGTCCCTAACCACTTTCTCCGCATTCTAGAAAGGTTTTAAATAGACCTATGGATTTTTCATTTGATCCTGCCCAACCCTGTGCAAACTCGAGCCTAGTCAGGAAATTAATTACCCTTTTCTATTAATTATAACCACTTTTTCCTCCGCATTCTAGAACTTTCCCGGACAGATGTATGAATTTTCTATCTTAGCCCGTCCACCTTGTGCCAGTCCCTCCTGATTCGAGGAGTTGACCACATTTGCTCCATTACTTCTAACCCCTTTCCTTCTAACCCCGTTCTGGAACGTAATATTCGTTTCTAAAAAGTGGCTCACGTCTCCATAAACGAACCGCCCAACGTGTGCGGAGCTTCGCAAAGCTTACACTTGCCCAGCACGCATGAGGACCTGCTCACCCTTTTTATTTTTTCCTGGTCTCAACGCCTTTGTTGAATCGAGTTATGAACCTGTGTGGAAAGTACCGCCCACTGCGAGTGAGTCTCGTTCATTTCATTTGTTGACCCATCCCTCACCTTTGCTCACATTCTCCCGGCGTCTGGACTGTTATCAGACCGAATGAGAAGGATTTGCTCATGGTAACACCCAATTCTAGCGCATGCCTCGCCTCTTGGGGGTGGAGCTCCCCTGAGCTCATGTGTTCCCTGCTGCACTTACCCTATGCTCAACCCATTCCAAACTTGTCCGGCCTCTCCAGGTGTACCTTAAGGTAGCATTGAATTTCGCGACGCGAGCGCTTTATATATGTATGTAGAGGGGTGGCATACGTGCGGAAGAGAAGAATAAGAGAGAGAATCATAGGGGGAGAGAATGTATGAAAGAGTTATGGAGTCGGGAATAAATCATTCTACCCCTCTTCTGGTGTATGCGCACACTAACTGGTGATCAGACGAACAGTGGAGGATGACGACAGTGGAGTTTAAGGAGTTTGCAAGAAAGAAGAAGGAAAAAGAGCCGCTATGGCTGACTCCGTTGCCGAAGTGTACCGGTGTCGCGCACCGGGATCGTATGTCCAGGCACATCGTGACGAACCTGGTAAATTTGGTTCGCAAACTTCGTGGTGTTGCGAAAAGCGACGGAAGAGAGGGCCAACGGTTGATTCTCCTGCAGGAGGTGGGTAACTAAAATTACGAGTAACTGGAGTCATTGCTGCAGAGAATTGGAAGAAGTGGCACTGAAGGATCTTCGGGCAGCAACGGAGCAGCATTACCAGCCGAAAAAGCTGGTATTGGCAGAACGGTTTGGGCTGATGTCGAAGATGCAGAAGCAAAGACTGGCGCTGCATGAGCACTACGTGGAACTGCAGAAAGCAGCGAATACGTACTGCTTTGAAGAAATCAAGGATCATCGGGATGCAGTAGTCACGATGGCCTTCGTTGGGGGATTGCTTCCTGTAGAGACGAGGAAGCGCCTTCTAGAAAAGGAACAGCTATCCTCGAGAGAGGCTTTGAGCAAGCGGAAGCCTTCGAGCGTGTAGGAGTGGCTCGGGTAAGGACCCTGAAAGATTAGCGTGACCGGCAGGGGCCAGGGCGCGCGCAAACGAAGGATCAAAAGGGAAGGCCGAGCAGGGGGCCAGCTCGGAAAGGTATGAGATGTAGGGTTTGCGGAGCGCTCGGCCATGCCCGTTATGAGTGTTTCAAGAAAGAAAACGCGTACTGCAATGTATGCAGGAAGAGAGGCCACCAGGCAGTGACGTGCTGGAAGAACGCCAGGGTTGGCTAGAAAGTCTCCCGCCAAGTGCACTGGTGTAAGGAGCCCGCTGTAAGATACTACGACAGTGGAGGGGAACTGATGATGCAGAGCGTGAACAAGGTAGTTGCGTCGCTGTCGTAGAACTGGGCCGCGAAAAGTGATGCGGAGCGGTGCGAGATTGAGAGGAGGACAGCCTGAAAACCGAAGATGGCAGTCCCACCGCACGAAGGAAGATAGGCACACTAAATGTGGAGTGCCGGGATAGAGAAGTGATAGCCGCTGATACGGCCAAAGACGTTGACGTAGACCGGTCGTCGGGAAAGCCACCGAGAATGCTGGAGATGGAAGTGAATGGGAAGAAGATATCATTCGAATTAGACACCGGTGCATCCCATTCCATTGCGGATGAGAAAACATGGAATAAGCTAGGCCAGGCAGTTGAACAAGACTACGGTTGCTGCGACGTCATTTGACAATAACCGTATTAGGTTCCAAGGAGAGTCCCTTTGAACATTAGTTTGCCGGAAAAGAGGCGATAGTGAATATTCATGTCTTCAAAGAGGCGACGCACTCTTTATGTGGAAGAGACATGATAAGAGAACTCCAGACAGATTGTGGACCGCCTTATAACGTGGCCTGTAATGTGGAACAGATGCCCAAAGTGGAAATCAGGAAGAGAATTGTGCGTACACTTAGTAGTAATAAGAGATTGTTCCAAGATGGCCTGGGCAAGTGTATGAGTGCGCGAGCGGAGCTCAAGTTCAAGAGCGATACAGTAGTGCCTAAGCTCTTCAGAGCTAAGCCGGTACCTATCGCGGTGAGGCCCGAAGTAGAGGCAAAATTAAAGGGAATTGCGCATAACGGTACAATTTGAAGAGTGGAGCATAGTAAGTGAGCTGCACCATTAGTGGTTGTGCCTAAGCCAGGTGGAAAATAAAGAATATACGGTGGCTATAAACTCACATGAAATCCACAGCTGGATATAAATCAGCATCCGTTGCCTAATCCAGACGATTTGTTTCACACGCTGCATGGCGGCAAAAGGTTTTTGAAAGTGGATCTTTCAGATGCGTACGTGCAGGTCGAGCTGGAAGAAAGCCCAAGGAGATATACAACAATCAATACGCATTAGGGACTTTTTGATATACGCAGATTCCGTTTGGAACTGTGTCGGCGCCAGCAATATTCCAGCGAATATTGGAAGAAACACTGGCAGGAACTGAAGGAGTGCTGATTTATTTGGACGATATTACAGTAACAGGTCCAGACGATAAGATGCACTTGGAAAGATTAGAGGCTTTGAATTGATTAAACGAGGCGGGATTTCGCCTCAAAAGAGGAAAATGTGAACATTTCAGGGAAGAGATGGAGTTTTCAGGCCATGTTGTTGACGAAAAGGGCGTTAGAACATCTCCGCATAAGCTGAAGGCGATAATGAATGTGCCAGAGCCTTTAAGTTTAAAGGAATTGGAGTCTTATCTAGGTTGATACAATACTATGGGAAGTTCATTCCGAGGTTAGCAAAGCTAGCGCCATAGCCTTCGAAGGAAGGGTGCACCCTGGAATTAGGGTGCAGAAGAGAAAACGTCCTTCGGCCAAATATGCAAAAAGCTTACAGCAGTAGATACACCAGCACATTAAAATCCGGATATCCCGGTAGTACTGGCTACCGATGCTTCTGAGTATGGTATCGGTGCTGTATTGTACCATAGGTACGATGATGAAACAGAAAATTGCCTATGCATCGCGTTCCTTGACGAAGCAGGGACGAAACTACGCCTAGAAGAGAAAGAAGCGTTGGGAATAGTATATGGTGGAGAGAAATTTACCCAGTTTTTGTATGGTTGTCGTTCTATCTTAGTAACCGACCATCAGCCATTAAAATAAATGCTTGATCCTAAGCAAGGACTTCCGGTGATAGCAGCGAAAAGCCTGCATAGATGGGCGTTGAGACTTATGTTATACTCTCTTGAGATAGAGTATAGGAAAACTACGGAGTTTGGCTATGCGGACGGATTATCCAGGTTGCCGGATCCTGAGGAGCTACCAAGTTCAGAAATGGTGGTAAATGAAGTGCAGGAGCAGATGAGTGCACGGGAAACCATGGAAAATCTACCTGTCATGAAGACACTTTGCTTCAGAGAGTGTTTGACTACATGAGAAATGGTTGGTCGGAGAAGGTTAGGGAGGAAGAGCTAAAGCCGTATGCGTTGAAAAAAATTCGGCATGGTCAATGTGTAATGGTCGTATTTATTGAGGATATAGTGTAGTGATTCCCAAAAAGTTTCAGCGAGTAGTGCTAAGAATGTTACATAATAGTTATGGGCGGAATAGGATGATAAGCTTGGCCCGAACCGAAAGTTGGCTTACGGGTATGGATAAGGCAGAGGAAGAAATGGTGAAATAGTATACATAGTACGTGCGCGTGAAGGTCAAGGACCCGGTAAGGGGTGTGGTGCGTTAGGAACGAAATGGTCGCGTTGCGGTGAGAGGGACGTGAAGGAATGTAGCAGAATACAGCAGTAAGTAAGAAACACAAGAACAAAAGTACAATAGTAGAATTATGCATAAAATAATGATTGCATATCGATTGAGCTGTATGAAGGACGCTAGAGCTGTAATAACGCCTAATGAGTAGTCCGCGACAGCCGCGTGGGCGAATAGATTACCCAAAATCGTTCCTAACGCCCGTCTCCCAAGGTAAGGGTACCTAGCATCCATGGGAAGAACCGCAAGAAGTGTGGCAGAGATTTCACATAGATTTTTGTGAGACGAGCGGCGGAGCAAAATGGCTGGTGGTGGTAGACGCCAAGTCTACATGTCCAAAAGTGATCAAGATGGAAGCTGCCATGGCTGAAAAGACAATATTAAAGCTGAAAGAAATTTTAAGCAGAGACGGGTTGCCCAATCAGTTGGTTTCGGACAATGGCCCCCGTTTACATCAGTGGAATTCCATGCCTACTGTATGAAGAGGCATTGAACAGATATTAATACCGCCATATCACTCAAATTTGGCTGACCCCCCACGTACCAAATTCGAAGATAGTAGCTAATTTCCCTTACTTTGCTATGCGGCAGACGGAACGGGAAGGAAAATCGGAAGTATATGCCGCATATTAAGGTTTTCCTCAGAATGCAATGAAATGAATTTAAACAAAAGTTTCGTTTCGGATGTTTTCTGCTGTGACATTTCAATCCAAAATAAAATACGAACTCTGCTCTTAGGACTATCACTCTTTAACGTCCTTCAAATGCAACAACAGCTGTTGACGCTGCAATGTCGGACTTGGATATTGATCTAACAAGGGAAGGATACTGGTCGCAGTGGCCATCTAACCAGGGCAGGATCCCAAGTCGATGTGGCCATTTGACATGTCCACGGGTCCACTGTCAACAGTGTCGGTTTGGTGCATCCAGAGCTGCTACGCACGATTACACCCACTCTACATCATTGCTCGTCATATGCGTTTTACTCGTCCTGACCTCCAAATTTTGCGCGCGGAAGAATCCTCCACTCGGTAACAGGAAGATAGGTAGGAGAAGATAAGCAATGGCATCAAAGTTTATAGAACGTGATAAAATCACTATGAGAGTATTTTCTAGTGCTTAAGGAAAAAATTCTATCCAATGCAAAAACTCAGTCCTCTTCGAAACCTGAACCCTAGCACACGAAGCGTCACCCTTACCACTGCCCCAAGCTGCCGTTGAAGAGTGTGGTTTATTCTACTTATATAATCGGCTAAGCGTGTCTGTTGGTGTGTTTGTGTGAGTGTGTATGTGTGTGTATGTGTGTGTCTGTCAGGAGTTCAATTTGATAAGAGTACAGGAGGCAGGATGGGAACACTTTTAGTGGGTGCCAGGAACGGACTCCGCCCAAAGGGGGCGGGGTTTGTGAGAAGTAAATGTTTGAGCGAAAATTCAGAACTCATGTCCACGTGATCCCTCCTAGAGCACTCAAAAGAGCACTCGGGAGGAGTACGGGCGGCAAGATAGGAACACTAATGGTGGGTGGCAGGACCAGACCCCGCCCATAAGGGGCGGGGATTGCGCGAAAATTGTCAATTTGGCCCTGGAGCGTTCAAACTTGGTAGGGGTGCAGGCGACAGGATGGGAACACCAGGAAAGGGCCTTGCCCACAGGGGCGGGGTTTGCTCGAAAATTGACAATTTGGCCATAGGGCGTACAAAGTATTCCACTTGCACGAAAATTTCACGGAGGTACGCTTCCTTGGCCCATCTGTCCTTTTTTCTCTGAATAATCGCCTTTTGTGATATTATACGATGTTCTTACCGAACACAGCGAAGATGGATTACAGAAAAAATCGCTCCCAATTTGGATGTGGCTAATACTGAGGGTGTAGAGCATTCAAGGAAAAAGGAGAATCCGAAGAGTTATTTCTGCGAGGAATCGTTCGAGAATGGCTTCGTTACGGTAGGTTCTTTAGTTATTTTTGAAAACAAAAATTTTGAGTGTGCACATACTTTTGGAACGGCAACTGGACCGCTATTCTTCGTGCATTGCTAGATTCATTCGAGACCCTGGCAGCTATCGCTCACAACCGACAACAGGAGAATAGCTCGTCTTGTGGCGAATGTTTCTTTGTCTGTGAGTCAGATCCGAGCTCAGATGGGTTTATCAGTCGCGCGCACGACCGTGTAGCGCTCTATCCGCTCTGATGAGTATATCACACGAGAGGCGATGAAGAAGGCTCCTTGACTCAATACTTGCCACACGCTGACAAGACTGGAGTTTATTCGTTCGTTGTTTTACAATTGTTTTTATCGTAATAGCAGAAAGAACGACTAATTTCTTGAAAACTATATCTTGACACGCATTGACGCTGCAACTTTTTCTCAGATACGAGAAAACGAATGAGTTTCGTGGATACCGATTCAGGTTCAAGTGACATCATGTTCACCAAATAAATTAGTGCGTTTACACATGCGCGGTCACATCGTGCGCAGAATTTTCACGTTCTCGGTAAAGTAATTACAGGAAAAACATCCAATTAAGAGAGCGTCCTCTTCATAAAAATTGCTCTCGAAAAACCTCACTTTTTACATGAAAACCATTTCCGCGCCGAAAGCCTTCATATGCAAGTGAAATTGAGCATCAATGTTCAAGGGAAGTCTGGTTCTCTATGAACCTAAGGTTAAATTGCGAGTACTAATGAAAAAAAAAGGAAAAGGAAATACCTGCGCATTGTTTTTTGCTTTATCTAAATCCAGACGAGAGATCTCCATGTTTTTGTCGGCCTTCGCGTATTTCAAAGACGCGGCCTCTGCTTCTTTGAACGTCTTACTGAAGCATGAAGACAATTCCACTTATAATATGGGACTGACAAGGTCTTTCAGGGCGTGGGACGCTTTTTGAAAATGGTTTTTTGCATGGTATAGGGGCATGAACACTGAGTATAGAACTGTGGTCCATTTCCGCCTAACGGCCTTCTGAATGCTAAAAAAGGGTGGAAATGAATTAGTCAGAAATTGCCGTTTTAACCCACTAAGCATCGCTTGTTTCATTCATGGCGTCGACT